CACCCCGGTGTGACTGGAGCCTCACGCTCTCCTCCGAGGAAGATGGGGTTGGGGACTGAAGCTTATCTCTTGCCCGTGGCCATGACCTGGCCCTGCGCCTAGTTTCCAAAAGCCGAGGTCCCTTCCCACCCAGAAGTAAGTGGAGGGGGAGGGAGAGGAGGTGGCACTGCCGCCCGAACTGCTCCAACAGGTTTGCATGGGTTTGGGCCTCTGCAGCACCGGCCGGAGGCTGGCCAGGGCCCTGTGCCCTCCGAGGCCATCAAGAACGGGACTGGGGGCCAGAGAGGGCGTGTGCCAGTGGGTGGTCCCTGATCCCCATGGCTGTGGGGTCGAGTCCTGCCAGTTCACAGGGGGGAGCCTGGCAGCCAGATGTGACAGGACCTGTCCAGACTGGTCAGCGCCAGGCCCGAGTCCCTGTGACAGGGACCCGGCCAGGAGGGGGTGGGACTCCGTGAAGCAAGTACATCTGCCGAAACCTCCCGGGCCTCCCAGGCTGCCTTCCTTCCGGTGCCCGGGGCTGCAGAGGACCCTCCCCGCCCCGCGCCCCCAGCAGCAGAGCCTGGGGTGTGAACACTGGGCTGTACACACCCACCCACTGGCATCCCCTCAAAGTTCATAGCTGGACCAAGGGGGAGAGCTGCCATCTGATCCCGCAGGTCCCCTCAGGTCCCGAGGTGCTGAGAAGGTGGCCCTCAGTGCCCTGCGAGTGGAGGGGCTTCTCCCCCTCCCTGCCCCACCCGGGCCGGCAGAGTTCCCGGGTGCCCAGGTTGAGGGGGGGGGTGTGAGGGCCTGGGAGGACCTTTGTCTGTCCGGCCAGGGCCCTGTCCACCTTGTGGGGAAGGGAGGGCCAGGTCTGAGCTAGATAGGGGATTGGAGCTGGCGGCTGGCCTGAGGGGCTGGTGGCATTTGCTGGGTTGGCCTGGGCAGAGGACGGGAGGAGGTGCATCCTGACACCTTAAAGGGCTGTTTTTGGGAGGCCTTGTCTCCTTGTTTCTCATTTCTCGTCTGAGGTCTTTCCTTTGATCCCACAGGCAGAGATCATTTGATCAGCACAGATTTGTGTCCACCTATGTGGATGGCCCTGGGGTTCAGAAAGGGCCTTCCCCCTGCAGAGGGGGCATCTATTAAGACTCACTTGCAGAAGTGAGCCCTGAGGCCGAACCCTCCGGGAGTTCCCTCCCCCTCCACCCACAGAAGGGCCCTGACAGCCCTGGGCCAGGCCGCCTCGTGGGCACAGAGAGGTGTGTGACATGATGCGTGTTTCCCAATCTCTAGAAATTCCTGGATGGCCCGCTGCTCTTTCTAGATCCTCTTGCCATCGGTACTGCTGTTTACTTAGTATTCAACAGCTCAACTCACTTTTTAAAAGTTTGATTACTTTGTAACTTTTTATTTTGAGAGCATTTTAGACTTAGAGAAGAGTTACCAAAAGGGTACAGTTTCCCTTTCCCCATCCTTCACCTCCACCGAAGTTCACATCTCGCTCGATCACGCTGCCGGCATGGAAACTGAGGCAGAAACACTGGGCAGCATGTCATCCAGACTGCCGGCGTCAGCAGGCTATTTGACAGGTTTCTCCCTACTGTCCACTTCTTGTTCCAGGACTCAGTGCCGTTCACACCCATGTCTCCTTACTCTCTCTCCAGAACTTTAGTATCATTTGCCGGAGGTAGTACCTGTGAAAATAAGCATCACTGTTAAAGTAACAGGCCCTGTCTTGCCCCCCACCCGCCTGTGATCGATCACATCTCTCCAGCCTACCACATTTTGAGGGGATTCGAGGGGGGATTCTGAGGTTACCCACATTCACGCCAGTGGAGCGTGCCAACCGAGAACATAGTCGGGGCAGCTCTTTTGTAGGGGCAGAGCCTGTTCCCAGGGTGCGATCCCCGAGCACCCCTCCCCATGTTCCCTGGGGAGGCCTCTCCGCTGGGGTGGGCTCCAGTACGGTCAGAAAGCCAGGAGTCCAGTTCCAGCTCGTCTTGGCCGTGGCTGGTCACTCTTGAGTCGGGGCACCTTGTCAGCCCCCCCAGCCATCACTGGCACTGCCTGGGCCTCGCCTGGGAATTGGCTGTGATGAGGGAGATGGAGTTTGCAGCCAGTCACCTCGTGAGCAAGTGTCCGTGTGTTTGGTAGGAAGTGTGGACCCACGTCGGCCGTGGGGACCTTCCTCCCCAATTAGGTGCCACAGAGCCACTTGGGCCAAGCACTAGACAGCTTCTGTGTCTTCGCCAGACCCCACGTGTCCCTCCGCCTTGCCCGTGGGAGGTGTCCAGTGCCTGGGGACCAGTCGCTCTACGAAATGACCCCGGTGGCTCATCTTGTCACCACCTGATGTGAATAGTATCTGTCTCTGGGACACAGACATGATTCTGTTAAAGCAGCAAACATCCTACAGCTTCCTGGTCCTCTTTCGGTCACCTGTTCTGTGGAATCTGAAGGGTTCTTGGAGGCCAGTCAGTAAAGTGGACTTTAAAAAGTTTGAGAGCTGAAGTTGCTGTGTAAGTCCTGCAGTGACAGCAGCTTCATTTATTCCTCAGTGAACACTTGTGGGCGCATGTTCTCTGTGGGGTGCCGTACTGGCTGTGGGGCTCCTGGAATAACACGGTAGATTCCGTGCCTCTATATGGGGTTTCTTCTATGGGAGTCAAACATAGACCGGGAGGCCCAGGCCAGCCTGGGCAGCCTGTCAGAGTTGTGGGGCAGCATCGTGGGGGCAGGAACCGGGCAGGGGCAAGGAGACAGTGCAGGGGCAGCCTGCAGTGTGGCCAGGAGGCAGCAGCCATGTTGGAGGCTCTGAGCAAAGGAGTGGTGGAGGGGACTGAGGATTTGGCAGGTCCCTTTGGCTGCCATGGGGACAGTTGGTGACAGGGGCAGGGCAGGAGCCACTGTTCAGGTGAGAGGTGCCGGGTAGGAAGGAGGAGGGGGTACCCGGATGGTGAGAAGGGTCAGGTTCTGGCGTGGATCCCCTCCAATCCCTGTGTGCTCTTCATCTGTCTGGGCTCTGCCTGCCCTCCTTGCCAGGGCCCTTTCTCCGTGCCCATCACCTCCAGGACTCGTCGCCTTTGTGAGCTCTCACCCCACCCAGCCTTAAGATTCTTGGGGCAGAGCCACAGCTAGAGGTCCTTGGCTCTCACGGGTGCCTGGCGACACAGTGGGGCTCGTGGCCAGCTCTGTTGGCCAGCGGAGCATGTGTGCACTCGGAGGGGAAGGAGGGCCCGCCAGGGGTCAAGCTTCAGTGGTGCAGTCTGGGTGATTAGATCTGACAGTTAAATCCTAGAACCTGAGATTCCGAAATACCAGGGAAGGGCCATCCACAGGAAGATGGAGTGTGGTCTGTCTGACATGTTTAGAGATAACAATCATTTTAAAACGAGAAATTCTTCCTGTGAATTTAAGAAGTTCTGGAGGAGGCAGGGGGGGGGGGGGGGAGGGCCAGCTCCCAGAGCAGAGCAGAGGTGCCCTGTCCGCCGACCCTCCCAGGTGAGGGGAGTCTCCTAGGGCGTCACTTGGAGTTAGGCTCATCGGAATTGCCAGGGTGTTTGCTTTCATTGAAAATACGGGGCTGGGAATGTGCTGGTGTGAGCCTTTTCACTGCAGCCCGCCTTTGCGTGGGTCCTGTGGGTCCAGGTGTGCTGCTGATGGCCTGAGTTTGGGCAAAGGTTTGGAGGTCTTGCCTTATTCCCAAAGAAGGTGCAGATTTGCTGTTGGGAGTGAGCGTCAGCCAGAAAATAATGTGCCACATCGAATGTACTAGACCAGCTGTGGGCAAACTACGGCCTGCGGGCCGGATCCGGCCCGTTTGAAATGAATAAAACTAAAAAAAAAAAAAGACCATACCCTTTTATGTAATGATGTTTACTTTGAATATATATTAGTTCACACAAACACTCCATCCATGCTTTTGTTCCGGCCCTCCGGTCCAGTTTAAGAACCCATTGTGGCCCTCGAGTCAAAAAGTTTGCCCACCCCTGTACTAGACTATAGTAACTAGAGGAATCTAACTCCTAAATTCCGGGTGTGGGGAAAGAGGAGTGGTCACTTGGCTTCTAAATGATCAATGTGGTAACAGTGCTGCAGGGCTCACCCTGGGGCTGGCCTTCATGGCCTCAGGGTTTGTCCCAGGTCATCCTCTTTTGGTTCCCACAGTGACCTCCTTGTCCTCCCACTTCCAGCAGAGAGGGGGCGCCCTGCCTCCTCACCCTCTGGAGGCAGACGCTCCTCCGCCCAGGGGCAGGGGCAGGGATTGCACCGGCTTAAGTTGTTCTGGATCAAGGGCCTGAACAAATACCAGGTACTGACCTCCCCCTTCGTGTCCATGGTTTCACACATGCAACGTGGATGGAAACAACTTCACAGCAGGAAGGTGGCCTCCAGGTGAGGACAGGGCCCTCTGTGTCTCTGGTGGCCCCCGTGTCCCACCAGCCTCGTGCTTAGATTTGCGTCTCCATCTTTGCACCTCTCCTCCTCTTGCCCCACCATCATTCCCATACTGCCGTGTGCCGTGGCTCTCAGCTTGTTGGCTTGGTGGGTGGCCCTAACCGTGCGCTCCAGAATGGTGCTTGGCCCTGTGTGTTAAGAGTTTAGTGTCTGGCCCTAGCCGGGTGGTTCAGCTGTTGTCTCATACACCAAAGGTTGAGGAGGTAGCAGGTTTGATTCCCAGTCAGGGAACATACCTAGGTTGTGGGTTCGATTCCCAATCAGGGCTCGTATGGGAGGCAGCCGATGGATGTTATATTTCTCTCACATTGATGTTTTTCTCTCTAAAATCAATCACAAACAAACAAATGAAAAACATATCCTTGGATGAGGAAAAAAATAAGAGTTTAGTGCCTGTTCACTTTCCCTCAAAGTGATGGGTCATCCATGAAAAAGCATAGAATTCCAGTCAATGGCTGGCTTTGACCTCAGAGCATAAAAATTGAAGGTCCTTGTGGTGTTTGTCCAGGCAAATGGAGAATCCAGCCTTGTATCTTTTTTTAAAAAAATTGGGGGATGAAATTCACATACCATGCAATTATCCATTTTAAGTGCACAGTTTATGGCATTTAGTGCATTCAGAATGTTGTGGAACTATCTCCTCTATCTAGTTCCCAAACATTTTTATCACCCAAACCCATTAAACAACAACTTTCCCTCCTCTTCCCCGCAAACCTGGGCAACAGCCGTTTTGTGTCCCGATGGATTTATCTATTCTGGACATTTCATATAAATGGAATGATACAATATGAAACCTCTTGTGTCTGGCTTCTTTTACTTAGCATAATGGTGTTTTTTTTGGTTCGTCCATGTTGTAGCATGTATTGGAACTTCATTGATTTTTTTTTTATGGTGGAATAATGCTGTATTGTGTGGGTACGCCACAGCTTGTGCATCCGTTCACCTGTTGATGGACATTTGGGCTTTTTCCACCTATGGCTATGCAAATATTTGTTTGAAGACCTGTTTTTAATTCTTTTAGGAATTGTTGGGTCATATGGTTATTCTATGTTTACCTTTTTGAGAAACCAACAAACTGTTTTCCACGGCAGCTGCACCATTTTACAATCTCACCACCAGTGGAGGAGTGGTCTGATTTCTCCTCATCCTCACCAACACTGGCTGTTTTCCATTGTTAAAATTATAGCTGACCTGGTGGGGGTGAGGGGGCGCCTCAGGGTGGTTTTGGTTTGCATTTCCCTAGTGGTTAATGATGTGGAGCATGCATTCATGGGCTTGTTGTCCATCTGTGTATCTTCTTTGGAGAAGTGTCTATTGAAACACTTTGCCCATTTGTAAATTGGGTTGTCTTTTTATTTTTGAATTGAAAATATCCTTTATATATTTTGGACACTAAACTCTTATCAGATAAATGATTTGTAAATATTTTCCCATTTGTGGGCTGTTTTTTCACTTTTGTGATAATGTCCATTGATGTATAAAAAGTTTTTAATTTTTCTTCTGTTGCTTATCCTTTTGATGTAATATCTAAGAATCCATTGCCAAACCCAAGGTCATGAAGATTTACCCCTTTGCCTTTTTCTAAGAGTTTTATAGTTTTAGCTCTTATATTCAGTTTTTTTTTGAAATTTATTTTCAGTTAATTTTTGTATGTGATTTGAGGTAGGGATTCAACGTCATTTATTTGCATGTGGATATCCAGTTGCTCCATCACCATTTGTTGAAAAGAATTATCTTTCCCTATGAAAGACCCATACAATAAAAACTATGGTGGCCTTGTTGAGCATCATTTGACCATATG